AAATAGAGAGCGAGATGTGTGTAGAGGTACGGTCAACCAGGTCGCGCACTTGAACTAAATCCGGTAGCTTAAACGAGTTAAAGGAACTTGAACGGAACTTAATCCCATAAATTTGGGAAAAATACAAATTTTAATCAGGTTAATTCGTTTGTAGCGCACTCCGCTACCCCTCAACCCGCACCCGTCATCTTCGGTGTTGCATAGGGTGGTGCAGGCGCAGGTAGTGTTTGGTGCAACACGGCGAAAGGATTAGTAGGCCAGCAACGATGGGATTATGCGTCTTTCATGGCCCCGATTATGAATGCGCGCCTGCGACATTTTAATTTAATCTCAGATTATGCAGCAGACGTCGAAGGGGAACGGGCAGGATCAGGCGCGTACTTAAGATTAGGCCAACAGTTTTGCTCGTGTATTGCCAAATATACTGGACAAAGTATGCGAGAGCAAGTTTTAATTTATTGTTATGCACGACACACAACCAACAATTCTGCAATTTCAAAAGTTTCACGTAAATCCGTAGATTACCAGAAAACCGTAACAGTAACCGTTTGCCGTACCGGCTCTACATTCAATTACCAATACCCAATTCCCGAGCCGTTGTCCGAGGCAAATTTGTATGTCGATTGAAAAATCACTTGAGCTTGTCAGCTTGTAAAATTCGAGACCAACCAAATGATCCCTTCAGATTATCAGCTCTACATTTTACGACTAGGTCGCTAGATCGCTGATCAAGCCTCCGGGCGCGATTTTGCCTCCAAGCGAACTAGATCAAATTAGATCATTTGGATTACCAGATCAACAAAATGGTCTCGCTCACGATCGCCATGCACCATCGAGATGATTAGCTGACAAGCCAATGAACGAACCCTCGCAAAGTTATGTTCACCAGATTAGTAAAACTGTAATAATAACGATTTGCTAAATACCACCACACTCACCAAAAAAAAAACCAAAATTGCCCTGAAATATACGAAAAACAGATATCTTAAAATTTGAATGGATTTTTTTCTAGTTTTCTGAAATGTATTTCTTGATAATAATAAAAATATTTCCAAAAAGTAGAAATGCAAACCATTAATTTTAAGATATCATCCCTGAAATTTAGAAAGGAGTAATGAGAAAATAAATTCAAATTATTTAAACTAGCTTAAGTATTTTTGTGTATTATTATATTAATTATAATTAATTTTGTGTAATATTAATGAAATATAATGAAAATACAACATTTTTCTAAGCTTTATTAATAATATTGTGTGTACATTAGAAAAAAATACACTGGACATAGAAATACTTTTTGTAAATTGTATAAATATGTAAATGTAGAAAAACGCTGGTTCCTATAAAGACACGACTCCATATGTTTTAGAAATATACTTATTGAATAATAAGGTCAGCCACCCTTGGCAACAGTATGGCAATTATCTAAAATTCAAGTCGATTTTTTTGTTAGTGATATAAATTTACGTGATTTCTTAACCTTTAAAACTTTCCTTAAGATCTCGGACACATTTTAATTATTTTTATTACCAAGCCGTGTTATAATTCTGAGCTGATTTTATTGCTTAAAATATCAGTGTTCATTTATTATATATTATCCTTAACAAATCTTTAAGATTGATAGAGTTTCCAGCAGCATACATTGATTTCTAAACTTACGATATTCAAGTCAAACTGGAAATGTTCTTCAGGTTAAAACTCATTGATAGAATGCTATGTGGGTATAGCCAAATGCTTGTTCTGATAGTGGAGGAACCAAAGGCAGATTGTCAAACAGTTTTGTTTAATTTTAGACACGTGCTCCCGGGTCTTTTTTTTTGGGGTGATTTGTTGCATGAATATGATGGGCATGAAATCGCAACCCCTTTTCATATGCGGCAATTTCAACCCCCTCGTTTGCAGAGCAACCCTTGTTTAAAACCACAAAATGGAGTTACGAACTGAAATTTGATTTCCAAATACAAATGGCGTTTGATTTTTTTCTGCCTTTTCCCTTTTCATGGACTAAGCTCCATTCCATGGGGAATGCCTTATTAATTGGAATGGAAAAGTAGGCTGAAAACAATAGAGCCAAACAAGAGAAGAACGATCTAATTGCCTTGTACATTGTATTCTATGTTTCTCTATTTTTTTTTACAAGAATAGATGTCAAGTCTAATAATGATGCATAACCCGGGGAGACAAGTGTTAAAGATGCGGCAACCCAGATAATCCGCAACAAACTGTACAACATAATTTTCTTGTAATTTGCTTGAAAGAATGCCAGAGTACTCCCTAAAAAAGAAAACCTGAACACAAAAAAAATAGAGATCAAGACTTGGCATTCAGCTGAAATGTGAAGAGATCTCGACGAGAGATGGCCAACAAACAACGGGCGGGCGTTAACCACACAAAAGGTTCGATCGTGTGCCCTACAGCAGCCACTTGTGTGTGTGTGTGTGTGTGTGTGTGTGTGTGTGTGTGTGTGTGTGTGTGTGTGTGTGTGTGTGCGTGTATTTGTGTTCAATTGATTCTCTTTAGTCGTACCTTGGCCACGTGCAGCGCACACTCCAATGGCCAGGTGAGAATCTTTGGGTATCTTTGGTGCACTTCTGTTCGATTTCAACCCCTTATTTTAAGGGTTGAAATACCCTCCGATTCGCCACCTTGATCAATTGGTGACATATCTGTTAACTGCGAATCGTTTTGATTTTCAAATTTTTGTTTGCTCATCGCCATAATCCTTCATGTTTGAGGCGGCACGATCGCCAGTTTGTTCAGATCGCATGCCAAGCGTTTGTCGAGCACGTGTCCCAAATTTGACTTGGCCGCTGGTTTATGTTCAGTCAACTTATTCACTATCCAAGGCAAGTTAAACGGTAATCATTATACATAATGGTTTGGTTTGCATGATCCGTTCTCATCTGCAGAAACTTCAATTATGATTGTTGCCACAAACTTAAACTTACTTACCAAACATGAAGCCTACAAGAGTGCTCGAGAATAAGTACCGCCAGGTGTGATCTATTGACAATTATTAGAGGGAATATCTGGTTTTATTTTTGGCAAGGTAATGTCCAAATGTCAAAGCTTTTGTTAAGCAATTGTTTAAACATGAATATGAAGTAGCTTCAAATCTCAAATGGGTTTTATATATAGAAAGATCATTGCTACTTGTATATTTCTAAGCAGCTGTTTAAATATTTAATCGAAATAATAGTGAAAGCATACATTAATTAGCCTTGCATAACCAGATCTCAGTCTACGTCGGTGGCACATTATATCAAACAAAAGCCGCACAATATAATAACAAAAACAAACTAACTGATCTATCTCGCTAGCAATAGAAAGCACAACTTTTTCTATATTTTCTTTTATTGTTGTTTAATCAACAATAGCTGATATGGTTTCAGACCCCATAAGATATATATATATATATATAATCATGCTGCTGGACACTTTGCCACTTCCGTTGAACGAGGCTTATAATATATATATATATATATATATATTTGTCAAGCCAGCCTCACACGGCATTTTATTTGGAATGTGGTGAGGATAATTGCTACTTCAAACTATTGTTCGGATGTGTGAACATTTCGATGACAAACTAACTGTCTAACTGTCCAACTGTGTGACTGGCCGTTGGACACCTAATCATTTGTCATGTTTGCCAAATTTTACAGTTATTACGAAAAAACAAAGCCTCGTTCAACGGAAGTGGCAACGTGTCCAGCAGCATGATTAGCGCTTATCGCATATACTACACATAAACTTATACATATGTGTGTATATATATGTGTGTGTGTGTGTGTGTGTGGACAATCGCATTTTTATTGATAAAAATTATGCACGCTTAAGGACAAAGGATTTGTTAGTCAACTTGACTCAGCATAAAATCAGCAAATGACGCTAAAACAAAAAGAACAGGCAGTATCAGTAGAAGAAGAACTTGTCGCTTTCTTCGACGCCGTCTTCGTCATAATGTCTCAATCAGGCAGGCATTGGGTTAACGGTTAACGGCTAACGGCTTACGGCTTGCTTGCAATTGTTGACCGCCCGAAAGGATTTTAACCACAATGCTGAAAATGCTAACGTGGGACCGGAAAGTCAGTCGTATCAGTCGGCTTACATAAAACGATCTGTTGGACGTGTGTTTGTTGAACTGTTTTTTCGCTTCTCTCTCTCTCTCTCTCCGTCAGTCTCTGCAGCAAACGGTTAACCGCTCAACATTCTGCTTTGATTGGCGCCGACGACAAATGGGTTCTTATGTATTCTGTTTGGCAAATAAATGTAGCTTAAAGTAAAGCTTAGCCATTTTGTAGACGTTTCTATCATTATATTACATATTCGGTGTTATTCCCATTTATATCACACATACAATTGTCTCATTGTATCAATTACACAAGCGGCCGCCATTTTGCTGTCGTTGCCATACTGATCGACTATGCTTATGCTCCACAGCAGTTGCGCAACTCTTTGCTCATTTGTGTAAACAGTTGCGCAGCCGCTGTGGATGGAATTCATTATTGCCAGATTGGTGCCAAATTAAATGCACTAAATATAGGCATATTTTAGATATGTATGTACGCCATTTTCGCTGTGTCTATGTCAGCTGTTCCTTTCTAATAATACATATGTATATGTTGAACAACTATTGATTTGTTTCTGCTGAAATTACAAATGTTTGCAGTGAAAAGGGTGAGAGGTGAAAGGCGTGGCGTTGCCGGACTAACGCCCATTTCAGCTAACGATTATTTGGCATAAAATTTGTGTGCAAATTCATTTAAAAATGCAGGCTGTTTTCACTAAAAATGGATTTGCTGGCCCAGAGTGCAAAAAATGCCGTTAACACAGATTATTTCGTCAGGTAAGTGACGAAACAGGCTGAGAGCAGCGTCCTGCTGGCCAAGTTGACTTAAGATTACGACAAGGACCTGTTGAGTGTCCTTACTTACGACTAAGCCAGCTGAGCTGCATAATTTTCCATAAAACGGCAAATAATAATAAGAAGTTGAATATGATTGGGTTTCACTTATTTTATTTTGTTTTGGTTATTTATAGAGTGGATGTAGGTGCAAAATGACGATTGGCAGATTATTGGGTCTTCTTGATGACATGCGCCAGATCGTAGACACCGCGCACTGCCTTCAGCTTGACGCCGGGCACATCCTGCAGCCGTCCAACGCGACACAGGACGATGTTGTGCTCCTGCAGATTGTGCCCGATGCCGGGTATATAGGCGACCATCTCCTTGCCAGTGGACAGACGCACCAGGGCACACTTGCGATTCGCCGAATTCGGTTTCTTTGGCTTCTTGATCAGCGTCTTGAGCACAACGCCCTTGGCAAACGGTTTCCCATCCAGCGGCTGACGCGGCGGACGCGTCTTAATGTGTGGCCCCGTCCGATGCATCTGCTGCAGCGACGCCATGCCCCGCAATGCGCCACTCACACTGACATAACTGCTCTGCAACGCTGCAAACGAAAGAGTGCAAAACAAAATTCAATTTCATATTCACTAAATGATTCGCGTGTTTCTTATCCGATCTTAGTCCACAGTTGATCAATAATATGTCAAGGTATGTTATATATCAATTGGAAGACTCTGCCTTTAAAATGGTGTATTTTATTGCTATCGAAAATCGGTGTGTATCGATGAAATAACACAAAATAAATAAACTTGATTGGCGCGTGGTATACGAGAACTTATATTCCAAATTTTAAGTCTCTATCTCTTCTAGTCTCTCCATTGCTGGAGAACAAATCATGAAAAGCAAGTTAAAGAATCTATCAGATATTTAATATTGATTTAGTTAGCACAATATGAACGAGTGTTTAAATCCATTGTTTTAGCTAAAACAGCAATTTAACTAAAATATGCGCCATTCGCTGAAAAGCAAATTTTAAATGGAAGGCAGCAATTTACTAATTTCTTATTAAAATGTAAAATGGTCCAACATTCTTTTCAAGGATTGTGGAAACCCAGAAAAGAGCTATTCATTAAAAATCAAATAGAATAATAATAATTTGGGGTCTGAGCGGTCTGTGGATCTATGCGGACAAATTGCAAATAAAGTCGATATCAGAGAGGAATTTTAAAGCTACAGTCACCAAATTTGGTTGGTAGGTTGTTGTCCTTCAAGGATCGGTATATGCCATGCCTACCCCAGCCCATACAAATTTTAAATGGCTATTTCTTCCGCAGTTTTTGAGTTGCAGTCGTCCAATTTCGTAGGTATATTACTGGTTTTTAAGAACCGATAACAAATTTATAAGACCACGCCCACACATCCGCCCATAATCGGCAAAGACGATATATCGGAAAGTGTAAATCGATAAATCTGCATATCTCCCACAATTTTAAAGATAGAGTGACTAAACTTGGAACGTTACTTGCTGGTAGCCTCCTTCAAAGATTGGCATTTTCATTTTCAGACCGCTCCCGCTCCTCAAGAACGATAAAAGCCCATATCTCATTCAATTTAAGAGATACGAGTATAGTTTAAAAACTTGGAAGGTAAATTACTAAGATTGTCCCCCAACATTTTTTTGGTCATGCCCACTCCTTTACCCACTTGTTTAGTTACGCCCACTACCGCCCCCAAAATTTCCGAAAGCCCATTTCTCCCGTAATTTAAGAGCTAAAGTTACCAAACTTGGAAGAAAATCTTTCATCAACATTTTTCGGTCACACCCACTCCCACCCCGAAAATTCACAAAAGCCTTTCGCAATTTGAAAAGCAAACTTGGACAGTATTTCTTGGATAGACCCACTTGCTATTTGCTACCTATTATCAGCATTCTCTATTGTTTTTGACATAAACATGTCGAAATGTCTAAGCAATTCTGTTCAATTAATGTTTTGTCTTAAAATTTAGTTGTCGTTCCTCCATATACATTTCAAAACAGTTGTTTAAATATTTAATCGAAAAAGCAGGGAAAGCATACATTAAATACTCTTGCTTAGATCTCAGTCTAATTCGGTTAAAAATATAGCAAATAAATAAATGATGTATTATAAACAAATCATAAAAATGATTTATATAATACTATAATAATAATCATTATAATAATAATTAATAATTATTATATATAATGCTATGAAAAATTCCATTTTAAATAAGAATATTTTAAAACTTATATTTTTTTATATTGTGGTTGGCCAAAACCCACAAGTCACCACTTAAATGATTGAGCGAAATCATGAACATATCCATAGATCAAAAATACCAATCTTAAATCGATTCTAATACAAACACTGAACTTTATGTGTTATCTGTCTCCTTGAATGCGACTGACATTTGCGTATTTGGTTATATTAACTTCATCTGTTGCGTGGACGCAAACCTTAGAGGCGTTAGTTGTTTCTTATTATTTGTTGTCACAGCTTTATAAATATTTATAAAAAAAATTAAACAACAGCGCTACAAAATTGCTATAAAAGGGGCTGTCGAAGCGACAGTAAGACATTCAATCCAAACCATTTGTTGGCATCGAGATGAGAATTCAAACGGTGATTCTTGGCGTGTCCATTTTGGCCATTTGCATTATTAAGAGCAATTGCCAAGAAGATGTTGACGATGACTCCAGTACAACAGAGGAACCGTCTACAAGCGATACACCCCCTCCTGACGACTCTGATCCCTCCTCCGACGATACAACAGTGGCCGTTCCTTTAAGAGGTACAACAGCGGCGCCCACCACTAATACGGATGCAACAACCAGTAGCGCTCAAGCTACTGTAAATCGCATGAGGCGCAGGATGCAACGTATGCGGAGACGCCAGAGGAGGGCTGCTCGCAGAAGGAGGAATGCTGCCAGAGCTGCTGCTGCTGCTAGAAGACGTGCCGCAGTGTTCAACAATAGGCGAACGAACAGCAATAACAATGGAAACAGAGCCAATCCTGCCGTTAACAGAAATCAAAACAGGAGCGGAGCCAATCGTGCTGTTAACAGAAATCAAGACAGGAGCGGAGCCAATCGTGCTGTTAACAGAAATCAAAACAGGAGCGGAGCCAATCGTGCTGTTAACGGGAATCGCAACAGGCGCAGCGCCAATCGTGCTGCTAACAGGAATAGGGGTTAGAATAGAAGGAGAGGTTAAGCAAAGCTAAGCAACGAAATCTATTCAAATGATTTGAATAAAATTATATATTTCAGTGCATTTCAAAAACAATCATCGATTTTTCTTAGTCGGGTCTGTACATCGGGCTATATGTATCAGTTGTGGAGAAGCAGTGGAAATTTAAGACGGCTTGCATAAGAGAAGCTTCCTTAACAGCCGTTAAATATGCAAAAATGTTTTACAGCAATTTGAATGCCTAAAATTGGGCAACGAAACATTTGTTACTTAAAGAAAGTTTTCTATAATTAGTGAAGCCACTTTGTACACATCTACAAACCAGAATAGGTCTCTAACTAAACTCCAACTAGCAGTCGAGAAAGTACATTTTATTACACACTTTTCTCTACATTTTACAAAATTCATTGTTTCTAAAAATTTGTGTTTTCATTTCTTTTTTTAAATAGATTTCTTAAGAAATTATAATAGCTGGAAGAAAAAAACCGTTAAATTATAAAGAGGTTAATAAACAATAAACAAGAAAAAATGTAAAAGCAAGTTAGAATGCTGTAGTCGAGTGAGCTCGATATATATAATTCTAGTTTTATTGATACATTTCCCTTTCAATACTTTTGCACACCCAAATGTAAGCATTAGATCAATATGGGAATACGAGATAACTCTAACATAACAAACAAAATACATAGTATGTACGTATAACTGTAATAGAGAGCATGTCATGATGGAAAGCGACCGCAGCGAGCGGCGTATAACATTTGACGAAAGAAAATAGCAACAAATAAAAATAAATAAATAGAAAAGAAGGAGAAGGAGAGGAAGAGACAGTCAAATAAGCGCAGAGGCCAACAAAAGGGTCAGCAGAAGAAACAGTTGGGCGAGAGTCCATTTGCTTTTAGCAACAACAATGCCCATTGGCCTTTTGTTGTGGCTAATCTCTGTGAAAATCGCAAAATAATTGTTCTGCTGCCGCACATCCATATCACATATACATAGTATATATATATATGTAAGCATGTATGTGACCCCAAATAATTGCAGCCAAATGATGCGGCTGTGGGTCAGCCACAGCCAGAGCCTATGTAGCCAGCAAGCAAGGAGAATTGCCATTCAAGCCTTTCACAGGCATCAATCAGAACAAAAGCAATGCATGCTAAACCCACAGATGGTGTTTGTACTTATTGCACGCTATACGAAACCATGCGTCGTTGACTACTTGACCATTAACACAGATGACAGTTATACAGAGACACAAATATATGTGATCGACGGAAGAGATACTCATTAATCGAAATGACACAGAACGCTTATTAAAAGAGTACAAATATAATTTGTGTTGACTCTTATGATAACTGATTTTCAGTCATGAATCGTATATTTATATAAACATTTATGTAAATTTTCGGTTTAGTTGGTAGACTATCCAAGCCTGTTTTTGCATCTGCCTTTTTTGCGCATACACCACGTAGTCATTTTCAATTGGTATAGCTTGCAGTGTGCAATGCAAAGCATAACTGTACCAGAGCATTTAGAGTTACCAGATGAATTTATTAAATGCCACACACGCACATACAGACCAAAATAATTACCATAACGCTGGACAATTGCAAACAATGGAACCGAACAAAAAGTGTCCCAATAACCAGCACACCTGTGCAACTGTGTGTGTGTCCATTTTTCGTCCCTTTCTTTTGTGTGCGCATCAAAAATGCAAAAATTCTTATTGTTGTCAATATTTGACAGCATGTTATGTGCATTTGTATGCGTGCATTCGTGTGTGTGCGTGTATTTTAATTAAAAACAACCAGAAACACACAAGAACATACACATGAGAAAAGGCCAATGAAAATATTCACAGGATGCTGCGCACAATGATTGAGCAGGGAAGGCGAACGGAGTAGGGAGGAAGGTGGAAGGGGCTTAAGTGCGCCAGCCACGCGCGAATGGAAAAAAGAGTTGCGATCGATAAACGAAAGTCAAACACACACATATACACATACTCAAACTTATCTACGTATGAGTACAGGAGTCAGCAAGATAAATACAACAGCAAGAAAGTTAAGCCGAAATTTGTATACGCTTTCTTGAGATATTATTATTTTTTGTATTTTGTATGATAGTTGGCCGACTCCACATAGTCATCAGATATATTTCACTGATTGACCAGACAGATCACAAAATTCGGCTACATTTTTTTAAGTATATTTAAGGTAAGTAAAGGCAACTGTGTGTGTGGGTGGGTGTGTGTCCACGCTAAGCAGGATTTGTTTATCTTAGACTCGTGCGGCAACATGCGGTTAGAGTTAAGTAAATTCTAATTGGATTTTTCGTTTACCTTGGGCCGTCAATTGTTTCGTAACGTTGAATGTTTGACGCAAGAAGTTCATGTTGCCAAAGTTAATGTGCTCAGTTACTATACAATAGTTCAGTTCAACTCACAAGACGATAATATCGAATTAACTCTCACTTATGAAATACAATAAAATATACACTTTAATGATAATAATATTGAGGTGAACTGTTTTGCATGCTGCGGCCGGGTGAACAGCTGTTTATTTCGTGTGTACAGTGCTGCCAACTCACCATCAGGTTAAATTAGTGCTGCCAACTTTCGACATTTATACATATGTATCGACCAAGAACACAATTTAAAAATAGATATTTATAATATATGTTCAGACGTGTGTATTATAATGCATGAATTAAACGCTATTTGTGGTGATTTCTAAAGTGGAAGGTGTTGGCGTAATCGCCGTACTACAGGCACTCCCATTCCGATTGCTCAGAATACGCGAGGAGACATTCGAATCGCTGTGCTTCGATCGCTTTGGCAGTGTTGCGGCGCGCAAATACGGATTATCGATATTGGGATTATCGAGTATCGCTTTATTCGTAGTCGAATTTGGTTTGATTTCCAGTTCGGGCTTCTCCTCCTTAGACTTGTGGCCATCGAGCTCCTCATTCTCGCTATCCCCATCTTCGCCATCCTCCTTGCTGGGCGCATCCTCAGTGCGATTGGCCACCAAGTAATGATACTCAAGTTCCTCAAAGTCAAACACCTGATCCGTGGGATTTAACGCAGCCATATAAGCGGGAAACACCGACTGACAAGCAATCACTGAAAGCAGAGGCGATTGAAATGGAATATATAATATAATAGCATAGAATATATATATACGTGGAAACATGTTATCCTCGGTGGGGAACAGATTGTTCGTTTCGCTCGTTTTGCAGAGAAACTTGGTCAGGGCCTTCTCCACGTCCCGCTTCTGGCTGGCTGCCTTCTTGCGTATGGCCTCGTATTCGGTGACTGGCTGCCTGTAGGTGGGTGTCCTTATGTACGTATGTGGATCGGGCATCGGCGGGAAGTAGCTGGGCACATAGTGTGGATGCGATGCCTTGGTGCCTGCCTGCAGCAGATTCAATTGACGCTGTTGTGTTTGTTGGGCGGGCAGTGGAATTGTTGCCACATTGGCGCGACGACTGAACGCTTCCAGGCTGCCAACGTTGATGCCCATGTTGATCAGTGCCAGGTTGACGTCGCCCACCGTTGGCATTGTTCGTCCGCCAAGCTCGCAATAGTTGTGAGACGAGTTGCCAATCTCAACTAGCACTAACAACACAAAAATATATATTATCAATGAGAGTTGCAAAATTGTTTGGTTTTTTCTTACGCGACTGCATCATTTGGGTGAGAGTTTCCAGGCATTGATTACTAGCGAGGACGGCGCCCTTGTCGAGCAGCATCTGGGAGATAGTCTTGTTGAGCACACGCCGATATGCATCGCTGTTGGGCATCGAAATCGCTTCCACTTTATCCATTTTATTTTATTTTGTTTTATTCAGTTCGATCGTAGTTTGTTGATATTTTAGCAATACAACGATAGTTGCATTCAATCGATAGTACACCTTCTATCGATAATATAGCGAAAGCAGCATTTTAAATATCGGTTCATTGCATGCATCAGAAGTGCTGGTTAAATTAATAAATGTATGAATCACAATTAAAAAAGGAAAAAAAAACTTAAAGCAAACTAAACTTCATTTAATGCGTTTTTACATAAGTTTTACTTTTTTACTTTTCCACAAGATCGGGTTGGAGCTAAACGAAATGGAGTCATCGAATCGGAATGCTAAATGCGAAACGAATTCGTATCGAATGCGGTCACACTGACCCTTAGTTGATTTAAACTACCTACAGCTGACGGACGGAGTGAGCGGGCGGCGGGCGCTAGAAAATTACGGTGTTCATTTTTTTCAATTATTTTTCGTGTGGTTTCTGACAAAAAGTGCAGTTGTGTATTAAAAATAGCAACAAACTTGACAACAATTGCTTTTTCAAATGCAAATTTGTAAACCTGACGCAACTGCAGCAAAAGGAGGTTTGTGATAATAATGTGCAACACAAATAAATATTCATTTATTAATTGGTATTGGTTCTGCTGCTGCTGTTGCTGTTGTTGTCCATATAGCTTTCAAGTTTTAATTTCAATTCTGAAGAATGAAAATAAGCAGCAGCAGTGAATGTTAATTACATGTATGCATATGTATGTGTATGTGTGTGTGCGTGTATATGTCTATCTATCTATGCATGTTTGCAGCCGCATTGTGATGCTGCCGGCGCAGACTCTGACACCGACTGTGATGCTGCGTTTCCTTTCATTTTCAATTAAAAGCCATGCAATTTACGCATCTAATTTGGTTTGTGTGCGCCAAGAATTATAAAAGCCCATAAATATGTACGTGTGCGCTGCACGTATATGCAAACTGTTTCTATTTCGGTGTGATTTCCAATTGCGAAATGCACCCAAAAAAAACTCGAAATATGATTGCTGTGTGTGTGTGTGTGTGTGAATGCATGCATATGCTTCTGCTTGTGTGTGTGGGTGCGAGCGAGAATTTGTTATACGTTTATTGGCTGCTGCTGCTCGCCCGCTCTCTCTCTCTCCCGTTCACACACTCGTTCGCTTTTTCTCTGTTTGTCTTGCTCTCATTATTTTGGCCCTTGTCACGAACTGCAGTTTATGTTTCTTTGTTTGGCACTTGCCATTGCTATTCCCATTCCCTCCCACTCCTCCTCTCCCCTTCCCCAGGCATCACTCATATTTGTCAGCGTCTTTGCTTCTGTGTGCGTCGTCCATCTGCAGGTTTTTTCATAACTTTGGTATTTGATTTCCATGACTCAAAACTCTCAAAGCTTCTCTATGTGTGTATTAGTGTGTGTGTGTGTGAGCGGAGTATGATTGTCTCTGTCTCTCTCTTTTTGCTTGCATTATCTGATATTTGATTAACACCTTGACTCTTGAGTTATCACCGTATGCTATAAATTAAACAAAAGATGCCTGCTCCTTGACTTTCTCTTCCTCTTCAATTTACTTGTGCCTCTCTTTGCTGAGTGCGCTTACAAATCGATATTTATCGAAGCTTCGATATTATTATTTCCTTCCCTTCCCCGCCTCAACTGGACTATGTCATATCTTATCAAACCATTGCTAATGCATATTAAATTTGTTAATGATTGCGAGATAAATGCTAGAACAACTCAAAAATAAACTTTACTCATCGTGTTTTATTTACCCTATCTTTCGATTGTCTTACAAATTGATATCGATTTAGTTGTAGATTAGATATAGTAATATTGTCATGCTAACTGCTTAAAAAATTCCTCTTCGAAAACACAAAATCAATATTGATATCAATTGCTAATCTTGTTTGGGAAAATGTGGAAATTAAACAGACTTTTTTAATAATCTGCTCCAACATAATTCTACGTATAAATTTCAGCTTTTAAATGGTTCATTTTATTTGCCGAGTTGCCTAATTTTTCTTTTGTTTTTGGTTTTCCCATGCCAAAAAAAGTGTGTAACTAATAGGGTCAGCAGCGTTCATCAACATCCAATCTAGATTATCTTTCGTATACGTGTTAAAGGCTCACAACTCTGACGTAATCATAACTATTTTGCCTAATGTCTTTTGTTATTTGCTTTTTCTTAGCGTGAGTGCTCTGAGAGAAGTTGATAATGATAATGCCAAGAAATAGACTTAGGACCACTTCAATTTACATTTAATTGCATAGTGTTTACTGCTCTTTAACAAAATTAACTAACTGTATTCTCAGCGGGGCTGTTCTTTAAATACGAATTGGCGACTTTTTGAATTTGTTTTTATTTATTGACTCTTATCGCGATTATATATTTTTTATAATTATTATTTGTCGCAAAAGTAAAAATATATTTTTTTTATGTTATTTATTTAATGTGTACTGAAAGCAGAAAATTTTTAAAAATTAAAAAGTCGGTCAATTATAAGCAGGCAGTCAAAAATAACCGCTGGAAACTCCGAGCCCAGAATCCAGACGGAGATTGCATAATAACTGATACTAAATTCGATGCGATTTGATTAGCCACACCTGAAAGACTTGTTATTATTTAAATTACTGCTGCTGGCTTAACTTAAAAACTGAAGCTACAAACTTATGTGATTCCCGGACCAAGGTTGATAAGAAAGTTGACAAGGCACTTTTACCGATGGTGTTATTTATATATATATATGTATTCATATGTGTATGTAGGTGGGGGATGGTGGTGGTGTGGAGTGAGGTGGGGTATAAATATTTGTAGTACTCGCAGTGAGTTTGTTTACTTTCCGATTCTGATGATCAATGGTGCCCCTCTCTCTCTCTCTCTCTCTCTCTCTGGGTGTAAAAGAGAAACTCTGATACACACACACGCATATGTACATGGGTATTTATGTATATGTATATGCGAAAAGAGAAACCCAATAAAGAATCAATGTGCAACTTTTGCTCTTTTTCTTGCTATTGTCTAGTTCTTCTTCTTATTCTATTATGAATGTGAATCAGAGTTGGGGGAAATGCCCAGCAAGAAAACATTTATTGCATAAATTAAGTTGACTGCGTTGAAGTTGTTGTTATTGAAAATCCGTTATTGACGTGAGTGACGCATGACTGTGTGTGTGTGTGTGTGTCTACACTATATCAAGAAAGTATTTTGACAATGTAACAAATTCATATATTTCCATTCCTTTTGCATAAATGATGTACTTTATTATTGTCTTTTAATTTTTGTTTTTAAACTTGAATTAAGAATCTGCAAAATTCTTTACTTACATTAAAATATTGTGTTAGCTATCAACTGAAAAAAACAGACATTAAATTCTTAACATTTATGTGGAAATGTTGTGAAGCTTTCGTAGCTATGGGATAAATAATAATATGTAAAAATTAAGCCTAAAATTTGAAATATTTTCATGAAATGCTTTTAAGTCAGCAATCAACTTAAATATATATATTTTGTAAATGTAGAGCCTTCCATTTCTTATATATTATATACCCGGGCATATTGATCAATCAGTAACACTAGTCGGGCTCTCTCGACTAGAGCATTGTCTTTTTCATTATTGTAATTATGTCAAAAAATACAGATTAATCAATATATTCCTATATATATATATTTTTTGTGTATTTGCCAGCAGAGAAGAAACGATAAGTGAAGTTTTGAGCGATTTCACTGGTGGCACTTATTACTATTGTTGTTGTTATTGTCGTTGTTGTTGGATATGAACAAGGCGGGGAAGCACATCCAGAGTGGAGGAGGCACCGCTCTGCTTAGCTCACCGCTGCTCGGCTCTACGGGAGTCGGTGGTGGAGGAGGTGGATTAGGATCAGGTGCGCCCGCTGGTGGAATAATAACGGCAAATGGCAGCGCCACCAGCCCCATGAATGTGTTCAATTCGATAATGAGCTTCCTGCCGGACAATCGTCCCATTACCTCGCTCCACATTGTCGAAGACTTTGAGCGGTAAGCTGGACAGGAAGAAGATGAAGTAGTAGTAGTAGTAAATGATTTTTAATAAATAATTGTGTTGCAGCTGCCCAAAGAACTTTAGTGCTATACATCGGACATACGATCAGGATGCGGACGCAGATCTGTGGCGTGAAAATAATCTACTCTTTGGACGCCAGACGACACGCTATCTCTGCCTCTCCAAATCCGAGGGTCTGCCCGAATATGTTGTTGAGACACTCAAGTAACTATATACCTATATTATATACTCCATTGCTTCCATTCGATTACAATTAATTGATCCTTGCACTTTGCACCTGTGCAGAGTTATTGCGGAGAAGGTGCCACCGCCAAAGGAATTCTCGCTGCTCTCTCGCACCGCCGACAGCGATCAGAAGGCGTGGCGCAAACGGCAAATCGCCTACAAGTTGTCCAAACGTGGCACCGTCACCCAAGCGGTCACAGACGTCATACTCTGCTCCAAACTGAAGATAGCGCCCGATGGCTTTAAGCTCGCCGGCGATATAAACGGTGTCCTCATCTGCTATAAAACCAGTGCCATCGCCACACGACTGCCGCCACCAATACCCGGCATCCCCAGCTCCAACTCCAATGCCAATGCCAATGCTAATTCCAATTCCAGCTGTGAGGTGGAACAGGCACTAAATCGTCTCAATTTGCATGGACAACAGCAGCAGCGTGCTGGCGGAGCACGTGGTCCAGTAAGTTTTGTTTAATCCTGTTGTTGGATTGTTGTTGTATCCATTTTTATTCTTGTATATGTGGGGCCCAAGATTACACAAGGTTCATCTGCTTAAAATTGAATCTGTGCAAAAAGAACTTCTGCTATTTGCTGGCATACTAAATTGAATGAATTTTGCCAGATTAGTTCCATGGCTGCAACGTTGCTCATAGAAATGAAATACGCAATAATAGAATATATAGCAGCATGTTGCCAGCGTGTGCAAACAGATCTTAAAAATACCCTTAGTAGACTTTGACTAATCTGCTTCTCTTCCCTGATCGTAGAACCATGCTTGGTTCTTGCTCTTCTTAAACAAACAAACAAATAAATGAAACCGAGCTTGCAGTTTTGCAGTTCGGTTCGGGAAGTACAAGGAATTTTTCATCTTCGTGTAATACGAACGATGCGATTAGACTCCAGTTTTATTTTCGAACATATTTATTGCGTTTGTATAAAGTTATTAGTGTGGGATGATTGGGTAGAAATACTTCTGTCTGAATATTTAATTATCATCATTTAATTATGTCCAATATATGTGGTTAATGTTGTTTCGAGTTTCGATTCCCTTCAAGATATATAGATACGAGTGCAGTTTGTAATGTTCAGTTTCTGTTGTTGTAAAATGTAGTATTGAAATGATAATGATACGAATTATTATTGAAATTGCAGTTGCCGCAGTTGCCCGCAGGTGGGGAACATCATGACTATGAGGAGATACAGGCGCACTATCAAATCAATTCGCCACAGCGACCTGCGCCGCCACGTCCAGCAACCTCAGGTCGCTCTGGCTATGGCGGCACTGGCACCCTGGGCACCTACACTGAACTCGAAGGTGTGCCATTCATCTTGAATCCGTTGCTGCAGCGCAGCCAGCCCATTACTGAAGTGAGTGTTTGCTTTGAACGAACTCTATATATACCATTAATATATATATATATATTATATCTAATGTATATTATATTTTATGTTTTGTTTTTTTTTTTTAGTTGCCTACACTGCCCGACATCTCAACGTTGCTGAAAACGCTGGATTATGACTTTCAACTGGAGCGCCAGATTCTGTGCACCATGAAATCGTCGGCCTCCAAGAATCCATTCTTCAAATAGTTAGTTAGCAACTTAATTAAATTGGACGTATTAAACAATTAACAAACTAATCTAAATTCGAAAACAATGCTAAATGTTTAAATAAGCATACAAAATGTACTTAATCGTTTGTGAATGAATAACAACGAGTGCACGAAACACTCAAACTTGTATATTTAAATTCAATTCAGTTCGATTACGGTATACATATATACATAGATATGTTCTTATAATGACCTCAGACCCATTTGTGTGTGTATAGATTCCTGTGCCTTTAGTACATATATATATATATATATATATTTATATATATACATATAATTTGATGTATGTACATTAATCATTCAGTTTGTTATCTGACTCGTGCATGCCTATATACATACATATAGTTTATATATATATACATTATCCCCAGCATTGTGATCGTGAAACGTATGTTTCCCATTATTATTTGTAAATTTGAATATCATCACCAATCGATGGATTATGCTGATATCTATAGCCCCAATATACCCCTCACAAAAACAAATGATTAAATTAAATGTCAATAATATCTATATACATATATATAGTCTAATATATATACACAACTGAGACACATATTTATTATTAACTTAGTCTAATGTTAAAACCGAACAAGTCAAAACAAAAGCCAGCTTAAGTATTCAAATACAAAGCAAACACATATACATGTAATCTACATATATATATATATATATTCCAACTATATATATTATAGCCAGTTGGTATTTTAAATATATTATATGGTACTTATCTCCATAGACGCGTAGACTGTACGAATAAATATATGTCAAACAAATTATAGACTCTTCCCCAAACCCCACACTCCCACTCCCCCATTCCCCCTCCTCCTTGACATATAAGAAAATCATGGAATGTTATTCAGCTGTTCTATATAAAATATTAAATATACTCATATTGTGTATAATTTTAAGCAAATTTTTAGGGTGAACAATAAAATCTACAGTGAAAACCAGTTTTAGCAAATTCAAATTTTGAGAGCATACTTTTCGGATGGTCCAAAGGACTTGCATTATGGTTTTTTTATTTCAGAAAATTTCATAGTGCGTTTGCAATTACAAGGATCAGTTCTCTCGTACTGCATTCAAGGATTCAGAGGTCATCGAAGAACCCAAACACTTGAAGTCGAAGGGAAATGAGATGACATCAGTAAATCCTTGTTTTCTCAGAAACCACAAGGATGATTCGGATGTCCTTTGGCCAGCTGATAGAGCTTATCAATAGATAACTGCTGAATTGGGACTTTCAAGAATATGACCGAGTTGTGAGCAATTTTGTGTGTTAAACAAAGGTCCTTTTACTGTAGCTGCTTGAAGGACTATCGTCGTTTTTATTGCTTAGCACAAATTGGCTGGCCACTGACTATCTCCGATCCAAAGGACATCTGAATAGTCTTTGGAATGATCCAGTTACACAGGACTTTTTATGGCAGAGTTGTCCCTTAAAAAATAAATAACCAAATCATGACCGATTATCGCAGGATAATAATGTGCATACAAATCGCCAGTTCTTGCTTGCTGGAAGGACCTCCCTACTTCTCCACTAGCTAAATAATGTTGAATGTTTTCTTTTCATTTGATTAATTGAATTTATTTTTGTCCTAAATGCAACTATGTACATTTAAATCTGAAGGACTTCTTGGTGGTCATCGATCTGGTCAGCTGCGTCAGTTGTCTCAGAATATGTTATGAAATAGTAAATCCGGTTGCGAGAGCGTCTTCTTCAGATTGCGGACACTGAGTCGCTTCAATCCACGGTCGGCCGTACATCTGTGTGTGTAGAGGGAGGGGGGTGGGGGTGTAGAGGAGACAGGAGACCAGGTACCGATTTGGTTTGAATTTTGGTTAACATTAGCAATGAGTTTATCGGCCATTACTGAGGAGCATGAGACATACTAGCTGAATATATAGCTGAATATACGGAATACCAACACCAAAACATACCACAGGCACAAAAGCTTCCCTTTTTCCTCTTTCTTTTTATTTTTTTGCGTGGGGGGAGAATAGGAGGTGGGGTAGGGAGGACAATGACGATGGCGGGTGCACTTACTCGAATATGCGACCCTGATACTCGATCATTAGCTTCACGCAATCGGCCAACATTTCGCCCTCGAGCAGCAGGGCCTGTATGTCATTCATGTGAACGCCCTGTGGCACGGTGTGGAATATGGTTGGTGTTATCGATAACGATAACGTCTCGGCACTAATCTGCTGCAATGGCACCTTTGTTAGCCTGAGCGAAAGACAGAGATAGAGAGAAATTATATATTATTTATAAATATATTTAACTTAAGTCTGACTGAAGGAATTTCATATCGAGTCAATTTTCAACAGTTTATTTTGATTTTTTTCTGAAATTAAAAATATATAAAACTGTTCAAATGCATTCGATTCATATATTATCGGCTAATAATAATATATTTTCAAATATTGTTTGGTATAATCAACAATGCAAATTAAGCTGATTTCTTCGCATTTTGTAATATTGAAAAATCCATACTTTATTTATGAACATGTTAAGCTTTTATATTTATAGGTATAGGTATATATTTTGAACAGGAGTAATCTTAGTTGAGAGAGCTCGACTCTTAGATACGCTGAACCTATCAACTCATATTCTATATTTAATCTATTTTCGAGAACTTATATTCCAAATTTGCAGTCACAAACTTTTATTGTCTCTGAGATCGACTTTGCTTTTGATATATACATATACTTTCTGGATATTCTTCGATAGCTAAATCTTGCATTCTTCGCGCTTCTGCCTTATGCAAAGTATTTTTAATAATGATAATATATATATAATCGATTAATCGATAGCTCACCGATTGAAATGGGCGAACAGATAGTCCATGGTGTCGCGATTGATCTCGGGCAGTGATCGTATCAGTCTCTTGAGTGTGTCCAGCTTCTGGTGCAGCTCGGTGAGCACTGTTGGGGCAATCCAAAAAACCAAATTAAAATTAGGTGGGGATGTGTGATTTGTGGATGGAAACTTACGCCATTGATTAGGCGGACCGATAAACGTTTTGGCCTCATTGACGCTAACCAGTGGACTCTTGATCTCGCGCAGAAATAGCTTGAGGACGCCAGTTAGTGTGTGTATATCGACGTCCGGCTGACGCAGTGCGTCATAGTCATTCGCATCGATATTGAAGCGCAACGTTTGTATCCGATTATAGTCGCCACACTGCCGATAAATACCCTCTACGGGCTGTGTGGATTGCCTATATTTCGTTTCTATTAAATCACAACAATCGATTATAATTCGTGGCACAGTCCGATGCTGTTCGTGCTTCAGCACCAGCTCCAATTCCGTATTGAAACAGTTCTCATCGAAGAAGATGCGCTGCTCCCGCAACGTTTCAACGCTGGGACGACTCTTCCACCAGTTCGATAAATTCATCCAGGCAACCAGCCGTGAGGGACGCACTGGCCCACCAACAGCCGGACGCTTCCCTTGCGTTTGGATAGGTTGTGGTGGTGGTGGCTGCGCGCGTAGCTCCGTCAACTGACGTGTCAGCTCGTTGACCTTCTGCTCGAGCTCCTGGCTGTGTATGGTCTGCGCCTGCAGATCCTGTTCCAGCGTATACATGCGCTGCTTGAGATTTTGCCAGCGCTTGGCACAAGTTGGACAACATTTGGCATTGGCGCTTGCGCTGGCATTGGTCGAATTGTTCGAGGAGGATGAGCATTGATCCAGACTCGTATTCGAGACCAGCACCGTGCTCTCCTCCAGCAGCAGTCGTGTCAAATCTTTGCTGCTGCTGCTCTTCAACAGCGTCAGTTTATTTGGCTTGGTGCGCAGCTCCCGCAGCAGCACAACAGCCTCGGGTCGACCACACTGATCCACATGATTGCTGGAGCTGGCTAAGCTTTCTATGCGCAACAGCTGTGCTGTGCTTGTCGAGCTATGCGTACGATTGTATTGGCCACCGGATGCACTCGTCGATGACGTCACGGTGCGATCACGAAAACAGTTCATCAGTCGCTTCGGTTGCTGCTGCTGCGTCGTTGTTTGCTGGCGACGCTCGTGGGCAACGTAACCAGCCGCTCCCAGTAAGATGTGCGCCGAGTCTGGTGTGCCGGGCGTAACTGGGCGTAAATCCCTCGATGATCGTGCGCGCTGCATTCCGTTCGACTTTAGACTGCAGACGGCAAACTCGAACTCGAATTCGAACTCGACTTGGAGTTTGGCTTGACTCAGCTGCTCAGCTTATCAATTGTTTTGCAAAGCGCGCAAAGCGGCGGCAGCAGCAGCTCCTCCTCCTTCTTCTACTTCTCCTTTGCCACACACACTCTCTCTCTCTCTCTCTCTCTATCTCTCTCTCCCTCTCTCGCACTTTCTATTCTGTTCACTCTTTCTTCCACTTTGCGAGTCTGACGTCAGTGCGCCGTGGTGCAAAACTGTGGCGAAAGAAGCAAGTCAATTAAATGCATATCGTGTTTCAATTTTAACAAGTATTTATTGCTTGCTTGCCACAGTGAAGACTGGCATCAAGTGGACCGATCTTGATGAAACCTGTACTGTTGAGCAAGGTAAATTACATTTGCCAATAGTTAGTTTGTTTAGTTAGTTTATTGCTATCGAAAAATCGATTTATATCGATCAAATGAATCGAACCTCATCTGCCTATGCTGCATAAGGAGCTTATAAATTCCCTAGGCTTATGGTCTCTGAGATCGGGCAAGATCGACTATACTTTATGTGGTCATAGGAAATACTTGTTTTTGCCTGTTACACACACACATTTCAACAACTTCTAATTGGTTATAGAAATCTTGTCACAAACCAATTAAAAAATGTGGATTAGTTTTCACTTTCACTGCCTGCCTGCCACTTGATGGATGGTTTCACTGTAAGCAGTGAGTGTGTGAATTTTACCACTTGCACTTCAGATGTTTTATGTAACTTGCACCACTGTGCTAAAACATTGTCAACTTCTGGTTGTTGCTGTTGTTCGCCTTCTCTTTGCTGTTGTTGTTGCTGTTGGTTATGCTTCAGTTCGCTCTGTGTCCGTCCGATGCACAGTCCAGAAATAGTCCCTTCCCAGCAATGACGCAGTGGGATCTATAAAAAATTGCCTTCACATGCAGCTCGGATTTCGATTTCCACACGCTGCTCGACTCTGTGAATCAAACTATTCGAACAGTAAACCAAATGAAGGAAATAAATAAATAATTCTATATGTATACATGTGTGTGCGTGTGTGTGTGTGTGTGTGTGTGTTATCATTAACAATGGTTCAGTTTTTAATCGGCAACGGCCCTCACAACTCTCAGCTTGGAGCAGCACAATTTCAGTCCATGATAAGATAAAAACCAGTGAGAATGCCTTGCACAAGTGTCGGAGCAAGTGTAGCCGACTGCTTAATACACTGCACAGCTGCACACAAGTAACTAACGAACAGCCAAAAGAGTTTAAACAATCAAGTTATCTTTTTGGTCAAGTTTTCTTTAAGAATTTTAAGTTTGCTTTAAGAAAACCAGAAATATTTATATATGCAATTGGAGTGCATTAGTTATAAGTGTGTATTTTATTTAATTAACGGAAATCGATTTTAATCGGGGGCAGCTATCGATAAAATTAAATCAACTTCATGCAGGGCAACTTATAGTCCAAAAATTAAAAGTCCCTTGTTTCTTTGCTTGTTAATATAGACCAACATAACTAAAAATCAACTCGACTTTAGATATATATATATATTATTTTCTTTATATGTGGTAAAATATGCTGTCCTCTGCCTCATAGCTAAAGAGTTCAGTTTATGATAACATAAAATGCTTGCAGAGTATTTATTTTGTATTCAATCCAAGAATTTCCCTGTTTATTTATGGAATAAGAAATAATGATCAATTATCAGAATCAAGAACGATTTATTCTTGAGGAAGCACATTCAGTAATGAATTATTTTTGATTGCACTCGAAGTTCTCCTCATTTTATTTCTCGAGAGAGAGAGCTCTCTCGTGCACTTTTTCTCTCTCTGGCATTTCCCCTTAATTGAGCACTACTTGGTATTATTGGTATTAGCCAATACCGGCAATATCACTCGGTGTTTACACTTGCTACCACACACCAAATAAACTGTGGCGCCCTCATTCAGTTAATCGCGATAAGAGTTCCAAATTCTGGTTGTGTTTTGGCAACGGGTCACGAACCGTTGTATACCCTGAACCCATTAAAAATTGATAAAAAGGGTATGATGATTTTTCCTCTTTCACTGTTCAGCTCAGATCTCCCTTCTGCACAAACATATCAGAGCAACACATCTCCAACAATTTGGAAGAGGTATGGGCTCAGAAGGGTACACAAGAGATCTAAAAAGTCGCACAAAGTGCATAATAACAAAATAAAAATGAAGTTTAGCCCAATATTTCTTATGGTGACTACTGTATGATACAGTGATGTGATTTGGGTTTCCAAATAACTGCCAAGTCTTTGGGTCACAGATTTAGATTTGAAGTTACCAAATCCATTTCGTTTCGCTTACCTGATGTTTTTGTTTTTGTTTTTTTTTTTTGTGTGTGTAGAATGTTTGGAGTCGTCTTCCATCCGGTTTCGAGCTGCAATTAATTAGAAACAAATATATAATGAAAGGATTGAGTTGAGTGAATTGAACCCATTGAAGTTGAAGACAGAACTCAAAGTGATTACCTGCTGCACTTAATCGAAATGAGTTCCGAGTTGAGTTCACTGATTGTTGTCGGCTTTGGTTTTCTGAGCAGGCAGAGAAATCATTTGACCAACTGGATGAGCGCATCTCTCCGCACAAATTTAGTGCTAGTGCTCCGACTGGATCACATCTTATACTTCTCGCTTTTCAGCTTGTGTCGCACACTGGAGATGGCACTCTCCCGGAGAAGCTGAACAGCTTTCTGCCACCAGCAATTTTGGAGATTTCGGCGTTGCTGCTCACACTTCATCCTTTGCCAGTTGTTGTAAGTCTGCAATCGCTGCAGCTGCAGTTGGCATTGCCTCCTCGCCACACAAGTGTGCAGACGTCATCTCTGAATTATCTTGTATTTTTACTTAAAAAAAAACACAAAATTAAAGCAACAGGCGAATCTGGCCATTCAATTCGATATCGATAGCTGTAGCGCAAAGCACTTATCGATGTTTTGCTGTACAAAATTATGCTGCCTATTTTGCGGCTGTTTCTTTTTAGCCAAACTGGCAATTGATTCTTTGCCATAGTCAGATTCAGTTGCTTATTTTGAAATGCGCATTGTTTATTGAAAATGTTTGTAATTGAGTGGCATGAATAATAGTATTATTTGTTTTAATATTTTCGTTTTGGTAACCGATAGTTGGCTTCCACAAGCGATTGAAACATTTGTCCGCTATGCAGCACTGCACAACCCGCGCATATTTTTGCATTTCAATTTGAATTTTACACCAAGATAACCGATGTCCTGTTTGATTGCAATAATAACGAAACATTTACGTTTATTATTATCTGTTATATAAAATGCAATCAATGGGCAATGTGGATGACGAGAGCACTTGGAATGTAGGTTTTCGACTTCATATCATGCCATTAAGTCTGTATGTATGTGTGTGCAAGCATATATACGCATGTATTTGGAAGAAGCATGTAGAAATTGACTTGTAGACATTCTCTCTTTCACACGACTTCTTAGCGACTTTCATACGCAAGGGTCTCCTACTGTGGGTCAAACAACACGCACACACACACACACATACACATACTTAATGTACACATATACACACACACGATGGATGCGTTGCTGTTGGAGGCGTTGACAGCGACGCGACGTTTTTGGAATTGACCGTTGCCACCTGGTCACCTGTTACTTTCACTGCGGCAGCAGCGCAACGGTGAACACCGAACAGCGAACACGTTTTGTCCGTTTTGTCCATTTGCCCATTTGGCCAAACAATGCAAAGTTATCAAAATTACAAAAACGTGTCTTCGGCGACAGGGGCAGCCGCCGGCAACATTTTATTTATTTTATACCCTGCACTAATTTGCAAATGTGTAAAAGTGCTGTTTTAATCTGCTCTCTGTCTCCAACAGAATTAATCTGAAATTAAATAAAAATAAGCGAATCATTTACGTACAATGTATGCATGTATGTGTGTGTGTGTGTGTATACATACATACATACATAGAAACTTGGTTCCTTCGTTAAGTTTTAAGTATTGTTGTCAGCTTGTGAAATGCAAATATCATAGATATTTATAAAAAATGCTTAACATAAATAAAAACTTTCCAAAAATAAAGTCGTCTTCATAAAAAAACAATGAAATCATATGTTTGTATATTTGAAGTACATATATATGTACATATGTATGTATTTATATTTGCGTGTATGTGTGTACATTCATAGGAACTTCCTTCGTTAAGTTTTATTGTTGCCAAGGTGGAAGTTGAATAATTTTCAAAGCTAAATAAATACATAATAATAATAAAATAAATAATTAATAAATAAATACATAATATGTACATACATGTATGTATGTATGTGTTTGTGTTTTTTGTCTATGTATGCGTACAGGGCATTTGCTAATCGGTCATCCTGCTGCACTCATATCTTTTTTTTTGGAGTGGATGGCCTTAACAATTTGAAGAAATATATGCATAAATTAGCGATTCTTTGTGCAACAGCCAAACGGAAGTCTTTTCACTTGCCGCTCTCACTTTCGTTGTCGCTGTTACTCATACACACACGCACATGCACACACACACACACACATACATACATACATGGATGTGTGTGTATGTACGTACATATGTACATGCATATCAACTACCGCCAAATATTTAACGATTTGTGCTAAATTTGTGAATTAAGTGCCCCCCATTCGCATACATAATAATAATAATAATACTGGCGACAACAACAACAGCAACGCAAAACTCGACGCTGTGGAATGCAAACGGTATGCGAATAGAAAATAAAGTATTGGACAAATTGACTGAGTGACTGACTGAGTGAATGACAGGCAGGCGCAGACTTGTTTTTTACCAGCCAACAACAACAACGACAACAACCATTGACAATTGCCTATCCTGCATGTGTCTGCTTTTATTGTTGCTTATCTATCTAGGCAACTCTGGTATTTTGCCATGCATACACACCAAACCACTCACACACACACACACGCACACGGTTGCATTTTTGAGCGCGCCCAAAAATGCAATCGAGAGGAGAAAAAATGAAGAAAAAAAACCCACGCAATAACGAAAACCCAAAATAGAAGACAACTATAAAAACTGATGAATACAACAACAACCAAATGGCATGCCAATGCCAAACACACACACACACACTACCACTTGCTGGGCTTATGTGTTGCTGCTTACCTGCGCCGACGCAGACGTTCACGTTGACAGCGCAGCCGCAGCATCTTTTACTACACACAGCTACAATGCTATTGCATTATTTGGCAGTACACTGCAAACAAAAAGTACGTAACTTTTTTAGCAAAGTCAATATAACTTTGACAAAAACTGACTACACTCTTTGCCATACTAATAAATCGTCTGCAAAATTGATTTTTGTTGTTTATCTTGGTGGTTTTGTGCGTGTGTGTTATTTTTTGTCAGTGTATTGTCTTTTTTCCGTTGGTTGCCCTGCTGTCCGCGTCTTGCTCCTGCCAGCTTCTTTAACATACCAAAGCAAAAATATCAACAGGCTGCTACAACAAAGAGAACAACGATAGTTTCAAGTGATTTTCTTCTTGTTTGCCAGTTGATGTTGTTGTTATCCAGCAGGTAGACGAGCCGGGTTTCATTGCACTGCGCAGCGATGTCGCTGCTTCAGCCAGCGTCGTCGTCGCCCGTTTCGTTGTCTGAGCTGAGCTAAGCTGTTGAAACTTAGCTCAAGAGTTTTGGCGTTCAGTCCGTTGGCGAACGTTGTCTTGAGCACAGTTTGTCGTTGTCGTAACACGCATTAATAACAACAGCAGCAGCAACGTGTTGCGCGCGCGTGTCTGTGTGTGCGTGTGTGTGTGTCTGTGTATGTGCATTGGTATTGGTGTGTCGGTTACTGTGCCTGTCTTACTTCTTGACTGGTCCCGTTCCCGTTCGCCCGTTCGCCTTGCGCTTGCTAAATTATACACGTCGTCGTCGTTGTCGTCGTTTTTTTTTAGTTTTTTTTCCTGTGTTGCCGCAGCAACAGCAAACTGGTTGCTGGCATCAGAAGCAGCCGTAGCAGCAGAAGTTAGCAAAAGCAGCTATCTGTGAAAAACAATAACAATAATAATAATAATAATAACAGCAACAACAACCGTATTTATTTTTTGTTTGGAAAATCGTCGCAACCACAAAAAAAACCGTTTAGCGGTAGCAGCAGCAAAAGGAGCACACTAAACAGTAACAGCACCAGTAGCATTAACAGAGCAATTACAGTAGCTGTTGCCAGTGCATGCAACAATTTTCGGTCAATTCGAATTCAATTGCAAGAAACACACAGAAAAGGATAACAAAAAAACACAAGAACAACAACAACTATGCCCTGCTCGGCCGTAACTCTGTCAATAGCGACAATCTGTGCGATAATCGCGACAGCGCTGCTCGCGATCGCCTTCTCCACAGACAATTGGCTGCACTATGACGTCAGACGCAATCAGATACAGGTTGGTATTTAGTATTTAATATTTAAGTGTCAACAAAAATTATGCCAGCTCAGATACACACATTATCCGCTTGTGTGTGTGGGTGCATTTATCTGACACCCTTGTCAAACCAACACATAAACAATGGGTTCAAATCAAGCCAAGGCCTTGTCACATAGAAAAAAAAAACAAGACAAACTGCAGCAGGCAAGAATGAAAACAGCAGCCGAAGACGATGTTAAGAGCCAAAGTCGAAATGGATGTCGAAATGAAACTAAGGCACACTGAGTACACACTTGAGAAAAACCAACACACACATGTGCACAGTGTGCACCAGATGACGGAAAATCTAGAAACCAATGGGGAAAAATTTCGGAAAATTATAATTGTATAGTGAAAGATTCAAAATGGCAATCTATATTATTCTTTTTTTTGGCAACTTTTATAATTGCAGAATATTTTGAGCAGCTTCAAATATACTAAATGTGTACATCACAATGATTTAAAATAAATCTTAAGTCTTGTAGAACTTTATTAAAATAGAAAATTTGTCCCACTGTGCCTGTGCATGCATGCTGCTTGGCTGCAACGGTCAGCGTCGGCAGCGGCAGCGGGCAGAGCGACAGCATTAACAGAGTAACAGTAACAGACGCGCGTGTTGCTGCCTAGCGAGCTACATACACACACACACATACATACATACAGACATACAAATGTTGAAGAAGAAGAAGATTAAATAAGGGCATGGCGGTGCAGAGTGTGAGGCATACGAAAAGAAGAAAGGTCGAAAGCAAACAGCGAGTTGACGATCAAAGAGGGAGGGAGGGAGGCGCTTGGGCGGGCAGGCGGCTGGGCGGGCCGTTAACGCTAAAACTTTCTACGCGAGTGCTTAGCCAGGCCAAGCGAACGCAGCTGAAGAAAACGACAAAGGAGACGGCGAAGAAGAAGAAGTAACAATTTCTCATTTTGCATGTAATATACACAAAACAACAATAACAACAAGTGGGGGTTTTTGTGGGTGCAGCCCAAGGCAGTGAGAGAGAGAGAGAGAGAGTGAGTATCATATAAAAACATGTGTGTGTGCGCGCATAGCTCGCATACCAAAACAAACTAACAGCGACACCAAAATGCTGAAAATATTTACACGTTTTTGGCATCGTCGCTTAACGATCGCCTTGCTTTGCGCTCGCCTAAAGGTTAATCTTGGCAGCGCTGTGGGCGAGAGGGAGATAGCAAGAGTGGTGAATTTTGTTGATCTGCGCTCAGCAGGTACAATATGTAGAATAAACGTAATTCAAATGTTCGCTGCGCACTTTCGTCTCAGCTTAACCCATGGCAAATCAATTGATACGCCCCGAGTTTATAGGGCTATAAATGGACGAAATACAAGCTACTTTTCTTCTATACCCTCTTGCTCATCTTAATGGATAGATGAGGTATATTCATATATACATATTTAACAAGCAAAAGCACACAGCCTTCACGCCATAATTGATATTTTACCAATTGTTACTAAACCGTTTAATACATATATATATATATAAATATATATATAAATCTTGCTTTTAACTGGGTTGAACTGGGTATGCACTAGTCAGGCATTTTCGACTTGCGGCATTCTGTGGTTTGTTCTACGACTAATATTTGAAATAGTGAGCTTGCCTCCAATTACCAAGCGACTTCTACAGTAGTAATAGTATTTAAAACTCGAATTTTAGAAGGGCCATTTGCAGCACTGGCTGCATTGTATCCATTGTGCTTGGCTTCGATGCTTTCGTAGAACTCGCTCTGGGCGGATTACTGTTATCAGCACAATACAATTATGCGTACAATAGTTCTCTCTCTCTGCGCTCTTTCTCAATTCTTTGTTCAGTTCAGGCTAAACAAAGTTCAAGCGCTTTATAGGAAAACAAGAACTACAACAACAACAAGAACAAGAACAACAATTGCTGCTACTATTTTGTGCTTGCTGTTTGCCCATTCTGCTTCTGCTGCTGTTTCTGTTTCGTTTCCTTCTACTTCTATTTTAACTACAGTGCCTCTCTTTCTAGATGGCAACTCTGCCTCGGTTTCGTCTTCTTCTTCTTCTGGTTTCCAGTACCTGTCTGCGTGCCAAAGCAAAAAATTGTTTTATTTTGCTGTTTGAGTGTGTGGCAAACCTGTTTTGAGTTTTCTCTCGTTTCACGTTTTCAGCTCGCTCAAAAATTGGTATGCGAGATACCCGCTTGAAGCCCAGGCCGCGCTACCCTCCCATTCCCCTATGCCGTACACATTCTGGTTGCCAGATCGCCGAAAGCCCTAAGTCGCCATTGTTGTGTATTCATTATTGTCAAAGCCATGTTGCCAGATGCGAAACATATTGCAAATTCAATTGATTAAACTGTTGCACTTTTTTTTTTGCCAACTGGGCCAACAGGCCGTGGTCAAAAGTTAGTGCCCGACTAGAAGATAATCGATTCTTATCGATATTGTGGAAATGGCGAAAGTTGACGTTGTGAAATAATCTTGATGACGACTAACTTTAATCTCCAGCTCTTTAAGTCTCAGGTCTAGTCGACAAGATCGACTCAACTGATCATAGAGTATATACATGTATATACTCCTGCCCTCAGAGTGTTACATAGTATCGATAATCGATTTTTGTTATCGATATAGTGTAAATGGAGAAACAAAATTGAGTCATACCTTTACATAACTGCAATATACCCTGACATTTTTTTGTCATTTTCAATGGGTATACACATACAGAAAAAGAGAAACCCTTATCAGGCATATTGCATTTGTCTGCCGTTGTTGTTGTTGTTGATTTTTTTTTTGTTGACTTGCTTTCATGTTTTCTTTTCTGCGTTTTGTTTTGCTGCATTTGGTAGCCGTCTGGCGTTACTTTTTACCTCCAAATGCAATGGTAGACGTCAACTTTTCGAAAAAAAGAGATGAAAAGCAACAATAAATGGAAAAGCTGAAAACTTGCTGTTGTTGCTTTTCTGTTGCCCATTTACCACTTGAGGTTTTTAAAGTTTTGGATTTGTTTTTTTTTTTTTTTTGTGTTCAATGAATGAATTTCATGTTGTTTTTTTACGCTTAGTAAGCGCTTTGATTTGTCATACAAATCAAAAACAAACACACATGTTAATTTGAGAGACGAAGTAACAAATATATAAAAATTAATTAAGCTTTTGCCAAATTACTCATACGCCATGTGCGGCCAAGCAGCGAACGCATCAGATTTCTTTCAAGCAGCATTACGTATATTTATTTTCTTCTCTTTTTCTTTGCACACACTTGAAAAATAATTAGAGAAATTTTCATATTTTCAAACAAGTTGAAACGTTGTCGATCAGCAATTCTGGGACAAGAGCCTGGATATAATACTGATACCAAGAACGTTTTTATTGTGTGATAGCGAATCTTAAGATATGTTTTATTATCGATTTGCATTTATCGCTGGTATCGAGAGCAACACAATTAATCTCTAAAGGTCGTCACCAGCAATCTTCCCTCCGAATTTGTTGACTCTAGTTGCAAAATTGTTGAAAATATATTTTATTATCGATTTGTTATCGATAGCAACCCAAGTTTCAAATGCAGAACGAAGCTCTGGAGTATATATAGAACATATAACATGTGGATTTTCTAGCTATAGTTTCTAAAGTTTCTTGGCTCATTGGTGCAAACTGAATATAATCGATATATCGAGTGTTCACTGTATTACTGTATTACTTATTATATGTGGACAAATGTAACCTGAACAACTGTTTGCTTATTATTAAATCGTAAATCATCTTTGAAAATTGCGAGTGGCAGACTGTCTGTCTGACTGTCTGTTTGTCTCTTTGTCTTTTAGCCATCATTAGTTTGGCTAATGTTGTATTTTATTTGCTGACATCATGTGAAATTCCGAACTGTTGTCTCACCTATCCAAAACAACCGTTCTCTTCTTCGTCGTCTTCTTCTTTTTCGTCTTCTTCTTGTTATTGTTGTTGCTTCAAAATATCCCAGTCAAGAATAAAAAAAATCAATTTGCATAAAGTGAATTGCATTTGGCGTTGGGTTTCATACAAATGTGTGTGTGTGTGTGTGTCTGTGTGCGTCAACTGTCTTCATCAGCATAGCATAGGGGAAGCGGGAAATACGTCTTGAGTTCCTTCAGCATGTCGTAACTGTTTACTAAAAACAGCTGAGTGATTCAAATCATTTAAACAACACTAATTAATAATTCAACACTTGTTATAACCCTGAACCCAATTAGCAACAGGGTATAATAGAGTTGTTCAGGAACAGAAGGCAGCAACTGCGTACCCATAATGTATATTAATATTCTTGATCAGCCGAGTCCATTTGCCCATATTCGTTTGTCCGTCTTTAAAAGGGAACAGAGAGAGAGAGAGGTATTCTCAATTTGGTATATAAGTTCTCGAACACCATCGCGAGATCAAGTTTGTTTCATTTCATATCGATAACTTTGTTCGATTCGCCCATATCGATATAAATTGATATCCGATAACTGTGAGAACTTCAATAAGATTGATTAAGCAACGCAGATTTATGAGGGGAAAGGGCATTTAATTGTCGAAGTGCCCAAAACAACTGTGCCTTCTACTTGTTTCTGGTTCCCATGAAATTAATATCAAGAGCTGTTTTTATCGATCTCTTACGTAACAGCTCAGAAAGTATGATTCTAGTCAGAGATTTTCTTAGTAATTTGTTTAATTTAATGCATCCTTAATCAAAAAAAATTAATTTTTTTTTTGTTTTCTTGGATATGATTTGTGCGCTTTCGCCACACTGATTATTAAGAGATGATGTGCAGTGATGATGTTCTCGAGATATGAGTCTCTTTCTAAATGTTTCTCACACGACTCTGTTGTAGTCTACTTAAATCTCAATTATTTTGGCCACTTGAGCGTGCGATTTTGAACGCTTTCGCTTCCTAACGAACTCGATAAGCATTTTTTTTTTTGCTTCTTCGTTGAATCAACAAATTGTTGAAATTTGAATCATTTACGTTGGACTCGCGTTGG